AAACCTCCAGTTAAAAGAGGTCCTGGACGGAAGCCCAAGGTGGAGACTAATAACAGTAGCTGTGAAGTGGTGGTGCACAAGAAAAGAGGCAGGAAACCAAAAAAGCTACAAGTTGTTGAACAGCAAAAGGTTGCAGAGCAGAATACAATCCAGACCACAAGGGATATACCAGATGAAGCCTCTGTTTCTACTGCATGCAATTCTCTTTCTGAAAATAATGTGAAGGAAGACTTGTTACAAAGAAAAGGCCGAGGGGGTAGAAAGCCAAAAAGGAAGATAAAGAGCCGCCAGCCAGGCTCAGACCTCTTAGCTCCTGCAAATGTGAAAATGCAAACAAGAAGCAGGAGGAAAAAGACACACGAGCCTATGGAGGAGGGTTCTGAAGAGCTTAAAGATTCTGAACCTCACATGAGAACTAGAAACCAGGGTAGGAGGACAGCCTTTTACAATGAAGATGACTCTGAGGAAGAGCAAAGGCAGCTATTGTTTGAAGACACCTCCTTAACTTTTGGAACTTCAAGCAGAGGCAGAGTCCGAAAGTTGACTGAAAAAGCAAAAGCTAATTTAATTGGTTGGTAATTTTTACCAAGGGTTTTACTTCAGAATGCTATGAAGCAGGTACAGTTAAGGAACAGCAGAACAGACTTCTGCTTCCCTGCTGCTATTATGGGTTAGAAGAGTATGTTCTGATTTGAGGAGAAAAATTTAGCAAAATGATAAACTGAAAGAACATTCTTTGAAAGAAATATATATTTTAAACTTTTGCTATTTATTACCCTCCAAATAGGTTATACATTTCAACAGTCATTTTGTTCACAGTTGAGAATAATTGAAGCAATTTCTGACTGACGTACAGAGTTCAGAGCTACTCTGCTCAAGTAGTATGTAATATCTCTACACAATTGAAAAAAGGTAATAGAACTTTTAATTGCCACAAACTGAAAACAGAAATCTATTTTTGACCAAGCAAGGTACACTTGGATTGTAAAGTCAAGTCGCCTAGGGAGGCAGACTTTGGCAAAAAGTGGCAGTAAATTCACTTGCATTTCTATTAAATAATAAAATACCAAACTTTGCTAATCTGAAAAAGTTTAATTTCAGTTGTGATGGAATGTTCAGCTGCAAAAAAAGCCTAGCACAGGCCATTGTTTATCCAAGTTCTGCCAAACATAGCAAAAATGTAATCACAAATATATATATCCACATTGGAAAAAGTTTGACTAATGTCTAATTTTTCAGACCTTGATTCTTGTATCAATCACTAATCTCTGTTTATTGTGCCAAAGACTGAGAATCAGTGCAGTGGAAAACCTTTTTTTCTTTTTGAGTGTCAGTACAGCATACCATTTGCAGTGATAAAAGCTGTGTCTTGTTTTAAATAGTAAGTTGTTAACATTGTTCTGAAATGTATCCTTTTTGGTACTTCTGGTAGAAAATAATGCACTGGTGGGGTCCTTTGACAGAGATGTTTTAGTCTAAATGTATAACTGGTTAAAGGATTCAAGGAAATTACAGGACAGGTATGGAATTATGATGTTTACTTTCTGATCCAGATTGATTGTTGTTTCTACAACTTTAGACATGCTTAAGAGGCTGAAATGACCTACAAAGAATAGTGTATGTGTATATATTAATATATACATAAACACAATATGTCTAAAATATTACCCAGGTATAAATTTTTTTCAGGATTTTTTAGATAGTACTAGAATTGAAAATTGTAAATGTCATACTTTATAGTTTAATTTTAAGGGGAAGATTGGTTATTTTCAATTATTAGGGTTAAAAGGCCAAATCACTTTTTATGCAATCATGTTTTATACAGTGGTCTCATTGCACATTGTGTTTTTCTGCACTTTTTATGGTATATCACGCTGACATATGTCAATATACACCCTAAAGAAAAATTCCATTTAATGATTGTGCCTTGTATTCTATTATTTCTCGCATCCTTACTAAAATTAAGTTGTCTATTGTAAATGATAACTATATGACTTAGGGGAATGTATTGTTATATGTACTGCTCTGGAAAAGAAAAGCAGTTATTTATTTGTTTATGGTACATTTAGTTATTTTATACCTTTACAAACAAACCTTAATACCATTTTCTATCACTTAAAAAAAGTATTGTCCAGTTTCAAGGAAAAAAATACATAAGTAGTGGTATGTACTGAAATCTGGTATGGTACAAAAATGTAACCAAAATTTTCTGGTTATACTTTTTTTTTTTTTTTACACATCCTCTGCAATGTCTGGAAGGGAAGACATGCAGAATTAAGATCTTAAATTTGCACAGATTCTGTATATGTATTTGAGGCCTGATTCTTCATTCTTTATTTTCTTACAAAAAAAGAGCCTAAAAGTTTGAAGAAAGAATATTGGTATTTTCCACCAAGAGTAATATAAATAGGCTACTGTGGGTAGCAGATGAGTATTCACCATACCTAGTTTTAGGTAGTTCATTTTGCTACAAAAAATGGCTGAGATATTTTCCAGATCCTCTTTGAATTGTTATGGATTTGAATTTGGGGCCCAGGGATTAGTTTGTCTTTGATTTGCTGGTGTATTTATTTGTTCTAACAAGTATTTCTTTATCATCTGATTAAAATGGAGTCACTAAACGTGGTAAGATAAGCTACGTTTGTGCAGTTGCAATACAGCTTCACCATTCAAACGTGATTGATCCTACTTGTTAATTTTGTCTAATCTCACTGATGAAGGCAATCATTTGAAAATGTGTAATTTCCTGATGTTATCTGCATTGTAATATATAAAATAGATTATATCTAAAATTCACCTTCTGTATTTACTCCGTTTGTAATAATGTTTTATATGGCATGTTTATGTATATATTTATATATCAAAAATACCTTGTGTGTAAGTTTTGGAGACTGAAATAATCTGTGTTCCCTTAACAGCAGGGAGAGGAGTGTACATCTTAATTTTACAAGGGTAGAAGGCCTTACCTGCAGAACATGGGTACTGCTTCCCACCCAGTAATATCGGTGACTTTAGCCAGTAACTTTTTGATTCTTATTAGACACATTAATGTTTTTCCTTTAAAAATAAACTGTGGATAATTTGGGTCAGTTTTTTATAGAAGCAACGCTAAACATTTATTAGAAATTAATACCAGATTTATTTAAAATTTATATTTTCTATAATTTAATTTCACTAGGTTGCAAACTTCATTTATGAGACTTTAGTCACCATCAGACTGTATTTTGGTTGGGGAAAAATTTATTATTTGAGGTGGTTGTGAGTTACTGTATCAATACAGAAAAAGAGCTTTTGATTACAGAGTCTTAGATTTTTAAATGTGAGCAATAAACTATTGATCAGTGTTCTGAAATAATTTAAGATCTATAGTTATGCATGTTTTATAATGCCGTCTCAAGTACCTAACAACTGGTTCAGAAAATGGAGTATCAAAACCTCATGTGATTGTTTTACATTTGCATTGTAAATAACATAGCTTCATGGCCACATACATGCAAATGATCTGGCAGCAATTAACTCAGTTTTATTCATTCAATTCGTTTATATTTGACATGGATATGAGGATACTGTTCTGGTACTTCTGTGCTATACTGGGAAACGTTAAAATTGGTATTTGCTGCTGAGTGGTATCTGGATAACAGTGTGTTAACTGCCAGTGAGGAAATACTTCTGCTTCTGTCATAAGTGTGCTCTAAATGTTTAACAGGAATCATTGTGCCTGTGCCTACATACTTAACAACTCTTTACCACTCTGTTTCTGTTGTTAGTTTGTTCTCTGGGAACTGAACTGAAACCTTACCACTGTAGCGTTCATTATTATTGTCAATATTGACCCAGAGCTCTTTGTCACTGCAGTGACCAGGGATCCAACTTCACAGAGAAATGTCTTCCTCCAGTGATTCGACTGCTGTGATAAAGATTTACAGATGTTTATTTGTGCAGTGTCCGGTTTGTACCTGTGATCAGTTTGTTGATAGACTTGTAAGGTTGAGTTGGTTGAGTTAAATATTACTATGGCTTAATATCTGTAAAGCTATTAATTGATGAAGGACCCTGATGCAGCACGTATAGATATTAATATCTATTCAAAAATAAATTGTAGTGTAGAGACAGTTTATTCACTATACTGCTGTACAAATGTTTTTAAGTACCAATTCTGTGCCAGAGGCTTTTGTCTTACCAAAAAAAGGACTACATGCAACACAAAAAACAGTCTGTCCATTCAGTAATTTCAAGCTTGTTAGGATTTTTGCACCACATTTTTAAATCTTTTGCTCACATTTGTTGGCTTGAGGACTACAAGTAAATTCTTTAGTGTGTAATTTGAATTTAGGAACATGTTAAATAGTTGATTGGTTCTATAAAAGCAATAGGCTTAACTGGATGGGACCCCTTTCACTCTGTATTTATATAGTAGATTGGAGTTGAGAGGTTTTTAAGCTCACTTTCACCAACATTCACATTTTATTTGTAGCATGTGAATCTTGCTAAGGTAATTTTAACATCACTGGTCAATTAAAATATACCCATACCACAATATTTACACTGTGTCCCGAGTCCTTACCTTACTCTAAATAGTCTATTTTTGTTGACAGTAGATTGTCAAAGGTTTTTCTTTTTGCCTTTTTTTTAACAGTGTTAGAAAATCTTTAATTATAACTCTGCTACAGTGCTGTGATAGAAAAGGTAGAGGGTTTTGAAACCTCACCTAGAAACAGCAAAAGCTCATTTTCTGTTTATGACCTAAATGAAGACAAATGAACTGTGTAAAATGAGTATATATTTTCTTTTATCCCTGAAGTTCTTGTAACAGTTTGGTTTCCAAGGGGACCTAGATATTCAACTGATAAAAGGGCTGTTAAGTTTTCTGCTGTAAATTACTGTATATACTTGTTTGTTCGTATGCAGAGGAAAGTGTATTACATTTCATAAATCTGGTCAAGGCTTGACAATGTGTTTCAAATAACAAATCTGGCATTGACAGCTTACATAGCTTCTTGTTTCTGAATTGTGACTACAGCTTGCTGACTTTGTATGATGTCTGGGGGAAATCAGCAGGTAGCTTTTAGACCAGAGCTAACCTCCAGGTGCTCTTGTGTTTCCGCTGGATTTAATGCGGGAGTTCGCCATGCCACTTTTACAGTGTGTTAGAGAAGGAAACATGCCAGGAAACCAGATTAAAAGACATCTTAAATTGCAGAAAAAGGTGATTAGCTGCTTCCCCCTCACCACCTCCCCCCACTTCTCCCAAGGTTCTAACAGCCTCAAGGCACTCTAGAAAGAAACCTTATATGCTGCAATAAAATAAGGGTGAATAAATTTAGCTTTTAGGAGATATGTAGTGAGACAAGTAGTCATTTGGGTCCTTTTTAATGCAGATAAATACATCAGGAAATTCACTTCAGTTAATACAAACAATACATTTTAGGGAGGGAAAGTAGTACTATACTATGAATTTCTACACTGAAAGAACAAAGAATGAGGTCACACAAATTAGGAGTAGAAAGAAATAGAAGTACCTGTCATGTACTGTGTGATGTACATGTACTGTTTTGTGCTTACAACTGTGCAGGTTGGTTTGCTAATGCATTGAGACCATACAGAAGTTACATTTTTGGACCATACTAAAACTGCAGAAGTGTGGTGGACAACTGGATAATGATCATGCGTGAATTAAATTCTGTCATAATGTTTCAATATGTATAGAATGGAGCTCAACTTCAAGTAAATTACCTAGAAAGGTTAATTTTAAAACTGACAGATTTTCAGATTAAAAATTACACTTATTTTGTACAGAATTATGTAAAACACAAATCTGTTGTATGTAATGAGTAACAGTTTTGAAAACTATAATTCTTTAGCTTTATCAAGGCTTTTTTCCTTCCAGAAATCTAGATTATCATGTTATATATAACCTGAAGTATCTCACCAGGATAACAGTGCCCTTTCTTTTTGTACATATGGATTGGAAATTTCTTTACTGTTATGTGGACACTTTCTATGTTAGTTTTGATGCATAATACTTTGAATCCTTTTATACAAACTAGAATGTATGTGTAAGAATTACTGTCACTGCAATGTAGTAACTACAAACTTATTTTTAAATAAATAGAAAACATGTTTTTCTAAGCTGTCCAACAGTGTTTGCTTCTATCTGGTAATTTAATTATAACTCTGCTATGGGATGATTGGTTGTGTGTTTCTCAGAACTCCTTAAATTCAGCTCCTTGATTCCCTGTGGAATATGGAATAGCTGTATCTGGTAGTATGGTATAGTGGGAACAGACAAAACTGGAACCGGAGCACTCTCTGACTCTGAAGAGAGATCAGAATTTGCCATTTGGTAGGGGTTTTCACTAAGCCCTGCAGTTTAAGGTGATAAATGTTTGGGTAGTAATAAGTTGAATGATGTTCCTAAAAAAAATATAAAGGCAGTAGCATCTGGCACTGAATACACCTCGTTGAGTCCTCTTAGCTCACTTCCATGTGTGCACCAGGGCGCCTGCCTCTAGCCCTCCAGGAAGCCTTCCCTGTTCAGGTGACAACTGTTTGTACCACAGCTGCATCCAATCCATGGAAATCTCTGCTCCCAACAGCTCCAGAAGAAAGTAGAAACACTTAAGCAGAGAGGATCCCCTGCCTCCCTCCTGCAGATTACTGGTCTGTAGCCTAGCTGCCCTGAGTGAGTGATGCAAGGAAAAGTCAACATAGGGTGTGTTTTCACAAAACTGCAGGGTTAGTTTGTTTATATCTTCATTTTTCTGTTCAATAGATGCAAGAAAAAATAATTGTGGATTCTGTTTAATTTCACATTATTTACTTTATCAGATGATCTTTTCCTTACGTTCCTTACCTGAAAACCCAAGGCAGTGATGGAAGAGAGCCTCACTCAGATGCAGGTACGTGTGCCTCTGGGCGACAGGAATGTGGAATGGCCACAGTGGAATGAATTGAGTTCCCTGTGACTTTCCAGACTCCATGTGAAGTCTGGCAAAAGCAAGACTTGTTTTAACAACTGAGAAAAAATCTCTGTCCCAAGCGTGTGAGTTTTGCTCATTGGTGCATTCTGCTTGGAGAAAATCATTTAAGAATGCTGAAAATATGACACACTTTGATGGTGCTGTTATGTCCTGGAGGTGGTAGTTCTGTGGAACGTACATTTCTTTCCAGTATTACAGCACAACAGTAACAGTGGTGTGCTCATCCAAGCGTAAGCCACTCCAGGTCCAGGGTTTCAGTTTTGTTGCTGAGAATAGTCTTAAGCACTTAATAACATTTCCTTTGTTTTGAAAATAGCTAAAAATATTTTTCTGTGTAACTCTGTACAGAATCCTTAAAATACAATTGTATCCCTGTTCCCATTTCTGTGACAGGTATATTTTGGAAACCTACTGTAATTCTTTCATTTTGTGTAGAAATCAAGACTTTTCTTTGTATTAACAGATGATGTGAAATGTTGGTACCTGGCAGTGCTGTTTGGGGCATGTACTGATTTTAACACCAGCAGGAAATTAAACTCCAAACCAGCCACACCCCAGCCCCTGCCCCTTCCAGTAAAGGAGAGACAAAAGAGGAGGGATATGGGAAGAGATAACAACTTAGTGAAACATGAGATGGTGAAATAAGACGCCAGCAGTACAATACAAAAAGAGAAGGTGTTTTACCCACCGAAAGGTATTCACCACCAGGAGCAAGAACAAAGGCGGTGGTGAACATGTGGTTGTGTCCATGTGGTTTTTCCAGACAAAGGCAATAGGATGATCATTCCTGCATGCTGCCCACATGGCAGTCAGGAAACAAAGGCAGTGTGGTGGGGTTGCTCCCAGGGCCAACATTTCCCAGCCAAAAATAATGGAAAACAGTGATAGACAACCCTCCCTGGAAGGTGAGTCATCTGAGTAGGGGTTGCTCTGCCAGGCTCAGTTCTGTGCATTTGCTGCTGCTTCCAACAATCCTGTGCACCAGGGCAGGGGAGGATGTCCCATTGGGATGCTGGCTTCGTGCTGTCCCTGATCACTGTCCCTGCAGTGCCATGCCACAGCCTCGCCTCAGCACCGTGTCCCAAAAAATATCCCAGGATGGAGTCCGTGGGTCCTTTGCTGTCACCCTCCTGCTGAAGCAGGAGAGGCAAAAGTGGCCAACTTCCAGTCAGAGTGCCTGCCTTTTCCTGCTGGGTCCAGGTCATGCAGTGTGTGAAGCAGAATAACAACTTGGCCAAGCCCACACTGCTAACTCTACCCCCTCTCTAAGAGGACAGACCATAATGCTCATTAAACAAAGGGAATTGTGTGGTTGTTGAAGTTCACCATTTTGCTTTCAAAGCGAAAAGTTTTTTGTGCCAAAGCCGGTGTTCACTGCTCTAGCCATGGATATGAGCTTTGCAAAAAATGTTTGTCACTTTTTCCAAAGATAAATGACCAAAGCGTAATGCATTTAAAAATTAATCAATGTTGCTAGTTGAAAGCAAATGTGAAAATAAAGCAAGTGCCAGCAAGCAATGGACAATGTGACTGGAATTTAAATAGCATAAAGTTGAGTTACTGTACAACAAATTATAATGCAAAATATAATTTTTGTGGCTTTTACTACTGTTAACAGTAAACTCAAAGCCCAAAATGTCTGGTTGTTTTTCTAGCTCAGAGAAATATTGTGCTAAGAAATCTTTGCAAGAGGCTTAATTTATTTTTTGAAAGGGCTGTAGTGAGAATTTATGAATCTTCTCTTATACTTTGAAATCTGTGTGAGTGCTGAAGGGATGACAGGGTAGAGGATTTGGGAATGATGTTCCTACTCTGGTAACAGCCATATGAACTTCCTTCATGCTTCCTTTTCTTGTCTCTGAAATGGGAAGATTTTACCTAAACTTGGTCTGTTGGCCTCTCATTTTACTTTAGCTAGATACATAAATAACAACAACAACAAAAACCCCAAAAAACCAAGAAAACAACTGAAAAAAACTCAAGAAGGAGAAAGCAAGAGGCAGGTAACCAACTCATTCAGCATCAAATTTCTGCAGAAGCCTATTCCTGGAGGTATTGACTTCAAACAATGTTAGCATTCAAGAGCCAGGCAACCTCAGCTGTTAATTTGTGTTTTGTCTCAGATCTTGGAATCTGACTTTGAACAAGAATATTCAAAATAAAAAAGACAACTTAAAATGCAAACCTGGTTAGAATCTGATTAAAATATTAGAAAGAATTACTGCATTTGTATTCTGTAGCAGAGAAATCTAGTGGGGTTATTTTTCTGAAATTTGAGCACCTTATTCAAAACTTGAATTCTCTTAACTCTTAAAGAAGACGGAGTAAACTTCCATGAACTGCTAAGAATTGAAATACAGCTGTCAAAAGCTTTAAAAAAAGAACTACTTAGAAGTCCTTAATTAATGATTGCCTCTCAATATACTGCCTATTTTTACCCAGCTAAAATCTCAACATGAGGAGCTGGGTAGATGTGTAGTCTGTATTGTTGCTGTCTTTCATTGACAGCAATTAGTCTGCATGCATGGGGAAAGATTAAATATCTGGAACTCAAAACATTTATGCTGTTTCATGCTTGTAAAATGTTTGAGGCTGTTAAATGTGCACCAATGTGTGCCAAACTTCTGATCAATAAAGTTTACAAGGGAAATCAGTGGTTAAGTTATTTAGGAAAAGTTACTAGAAAATTCACATAAGCATTGTCCTAAGAAAGGGCAGATCATCTGAAATTGTGTTATGGTCAGGATTGTTTCTTTTTTCTTGCATGCTAATTTATGAAGTTGTAATTTTCCTCTGGCTATGGCCTCTTTGCCCACCTCTGCATCATGACAGAACACACAGGGCTGGTTTCTTTCTGGCTCTTGCACTGAAGATCTCTGCTCAAGCACATGGGCACTAAGCTATTTTGTAAAAGAAGCATCTTGCAATTTGATTTACTTTATGTTAAGAAGATGTCTTAACGTTTGGGTAGTAATAAGTTGCTTGAGTCACACTAACACCTTCAGCCACCCTGAGGTAGGATCAGGTGTTTACATGGCTCCTGAGGTTTTGCTCAAGGGAGCTGGTAGGTCCCAGAATTTACTGCAGCCTGGGATTGGTGATGCAAACACAGCCACAATGTCCCAAAGGAGTCTGTTCTCCTTGGGGTGGGCTCTGTGAGGCAAACAGGTTGCTCTGAACAACCTGATCTAGCTGAAGATGTCTCTACTTATTGCAGAGGGGTGGATTAGGTGCCCTTGAAAAGGTCCCTTCCAACTCAAACCATCTATGATTCTGATTAAAAAAATATTTTTCTTAGGTAGAATTTGTATTTCTAGTGTAGGCTAGTATTCATGTGAGTTTTCAATTGGGCATTCCTGCCATGTTGCACAGGTTTAAATCCATCAACAAAATTCCATCCTAGGCCTGGGCCCTTAGTTCCCACATGTTCACTAGGTATGGCTTGGTAACATTTTTGGCTTTTTTCAGAGCCTTGCTCTTTGGAGGGCTGTGCTCAGTGAGAAGTGATGGCTGGAGCATTTCCTTTCTCTTGGTAAGGCTCAACGTTTACCACTGATGAATCTCTCTTCTTGTCTATAGTGTTCCCATTGCTCCGATCTCTCTGGATCATTTGCAGTTTGAGTCCGCCTCCTCTGTTTGCTCCCACTCTGATTTGGGTGCCATCAGCCGATCTGGTTGCAGTTGAATTTACACCACAGCAATCCGTGACACACATGGGGCTCATGGCCGGGTTTGACTCCCTGGAGCAGGGGCAGCCCGGAGTTCCTGCTGCTGACACGCGTGCTATGGAAACCACTGAGGACGCTCCTGCTTCAGCTGTGCCGGCATCCAGCCGTGACACTGCCGGGCCAGGGGCGCACCAGGAGCTCTCTGAAGTACCAACAGCGTAGAGAGAGGCAGGACATGAGGCTGGGTTACAGGGTTACGACATATTTTGCATAAACATCACATGAGAGAAAACCACCGGACTTCTATTCATAGCGGTTCACGCCACTTGTTCATCCACATTCACAGAAAAAAATACCTAGGTAAGGAAGTTGAAAATGTTACTGTCTTTATGTTAGTCTGAAGAAATAACTTAGAACTTTTTATTTCTCTATTTTAATCTCTCTAAAACTGTCGGGTTGTAAAGTCCACGGGGGAGTTTGTTGCGTTTTGACATTAAGAAATCCTTCTGCCCTGAAAGCTTTTTGTGCGAGGGAAAGCCGAGAGCAGGGGGCAACTTCCCAACGCGACTGAGAGCCTGGCCCGGGTTCAGGCTCGGCGCTCGCCTCTCCGGGCTCCTTCAGGGCGCTGTTGCTCGGCCCCAGCTCCCGCCCGTGGGCGCCGGGCCGGGCCGGGCCGGGTGAGGGGCCGGGAACAGGGCCAGGAGCAGAGGGGCTCACCGGGAGCAGGACAGGAGCAGGGGGGCTCACCGGGAGCCGGGACAGGAGCAGGGGGGCTCACCGGGAGCAGGACAGGAGCAGGGGAGCTCACCGGGAGCCGGCACAGGAGCAGAGGGGCTACGGCTCCCCACGGGCGCTGCCGGCTCGGGGCTACTGCGGCTCGGTGCCCGCTCGGGGGCTGCAGGCACAGCGCTCTTCTTGCGGGCGCTCGGGTGCTTCCAAATATGCACAGAAATAATTTGATTCGGGCTAACTCGATGTATGCCACCGCATTCTTTCCGTCTGGGGAATGCGGCTGCTGAAAATGCCGATTTCAGGGACAGGAGGAAGCTGCACAGCGGCAGAAGTTGTACTGTCCCAGAGGGCAGCGCGGCGGCGACCCCCGGCTCCTGTCCAGCCCCCAGGGCGCTCATGGCTACTTGGCTGAACCGTGACTCGTCCTCCCCCCACACCACACAAGGCTAAACAAGTACTCTACAGCTACTGATAACGCCTAAAAGGCGATTAGGAGACGTTTTTTTCTTTACTGGTGGCTCTAAAGCAGATGATGCAGAAGTTAAAAATACAGTTTGTAGTAAGGCTTCATCACACACTAAGACATTTCCATATTCCTTACAATATTCTTTGAACCTCCTCTTTGTGATCTTGACTGCTTTTGTTGGGCAGCTTTCATAAATCTACCTTCCCATGTGCACCTGTGCTGTGTATATTACAGTAACCCAAATTAGTTTGCATATTACATAAATTAGGACAGCAGGATCTAGAAGCAATTCGGACACAACTAGTGAACTGCTTCTGCTTGTGGGCTGAGTATTCCACTCCAGGAGAGAGCAGGAGTTGCACCAGCTGCACCTGGAGAACAGAGTGGGTGAATGCTGCAGTAAACCAGCTACTCTGAGAACACCTGCGTAGAAGACACAAGTCCCAAATTTCAGCACGTCTTAATTCTGATTTGAAAAAGCCTCACAGATGTAAAGACAGTCCTCAGGTGAAGGTGAATATCTTGATGGTTTGGGGAAGGAGGGAAGAGCCATGAATATGCACTGGTATGGTGTTTCAGGAGCCTATGGGGATGAAAGGCGATGTCAAATCCTTTTCTAATCTAGTGGTGGGACTGTGGCACATTATCAACCTGGCACAGTGCTGTAAGTGCCTTCAGCCTGAAAGAAAAACCCCTTAGTTCTGTCAGATGTGCAATTACCACTGAATGCAAACAGATTATTTTTGAGGCCATCAATCTGGTATGCCAGACATGTTTAATGCACGCAATCAGATGACAAAGCAGCACAAATAATTTGGTTCATGGACAGCAGCTTTTTACTGCAAATTGGACAACCATACAAATTCCCAGTTCCTCTTTTCTTTTTTCCCCCCCTCTGTTTACAGACAAAAGAGTTGCCTGTATAAATCTTAAAAGCAGGTTTTTCTGTCTTGTGTACTTTAGTCTTCTATTAGCTTTTGTAAGTACCATGAAATTTAATGGAGTTAAAGTGGCCTAAATTAAGTGTGCTCCAGCTGTAGCCAAAATGCCTGAGTACAGATTGTACATAATGTTGTGAACCAGCAAAGCAACCTGAAGGAAACCTTTAAGTTTGACACATCTAGCAAAACTCACAGCTTTATTTTATTTTATCTCTTTTTAAAATTTTTCTCTTCCTCTTTTCTGAGTAGGAAGCAGTGAAGTGTCTGCCGAAACTTCCTGTTGGAATGCCTCACATCAATGCAGCTGCAGCTCTGCAGATTTCCATGCTGCTCTTTGCTCTTCCTGCACAGTATTTCATATCTCAGTGGTACAGAACGGACTCTGCTGAGCGCATCCAAATAACAGAAAGGTCGTAAGACTGCCCTTCCCTACTGTGTTTATTTGTAAGTGAGTTATCTCCCTCATCCCCAATGACACTTTGCCCTGGAAAGCTGAAGTGTGGGTGGATTGGCTATTCCTATACAAAACCAACATTTAAATCACACCTCAGGCATTTTTATGGCTTAATATGACTGTATTTAGTTTCAAAATTCAAACAGCAATTGTTGATTTCTTCACATATAAATCTTATTAATCTGCATGAGTGCCTTAACCTCATTCTTTTTTGTGACATTCCAATGTACGTTACTAAGGGTTATGTCCCTTTCAAAAGATGAAAATTAAGTGATTAAGTAACATTAGTTCTGATTTTCCACCACCTTTTGATATTTACTGTTATAAAATATTTTCTTGCATAGTATGACTCAGTACAGAATCTTAACCAACAAAATTCACTCACAGTAAATTACCGAAGGCAGGAACAATGATAAGAGCTAAGTAAGGAGTGCATTTCGTCTATGACTTAAGAAGTGTATTGGCAGAATCCCACACACATATCTCCAAAGAAGAAGTGGAGATTATTACATCAGATCCAAATTTTTGATAGTGGTGTCCATTGGCAAACACTGGCATCTTGAAATGAACCATGCAAAGAGAGACTCAGTTGTACATGTGGCCTGTGCAGTGCACTGGCTGTGTGGTTCATCTGTGGAATTCCAGTGCATGAAGCAGGAAGAGCAAAAGATTGATCTGATGAAAAGAAAACTAAGCTTGGTTTATGCATGAAAAGCCAGAGTGAAATAATTTTCAGGCCTCATGGAATGAGTCAACCACTTATTATTTAGATTTATGCAAAAACCTGTAGGCTTTTTTAATAGTATTTTGATTATGTACACCATTAAAAAAATATCTCATGCTCTCTATTCTTGAGTAACAGTTGAAGCTGCAGAATCTGAATGTAATTTAACAATTCCTATGGTGCAAGTACAGGAAGAAAGCAATCTTGTAATGAAAAATGGTATTTTCCAAAATTTACATATGGTTTACTGGTAAAAGTGATGACTGAAAGAATATTCATTTTCAGTGTTGATATTAATCTTGAGGAGAAATTGTTCACGGTCACTGACCCCTTCTTTCTCTTTGCTACAGAAGTGAAACTTCAAAGCTTAAATATTAAAAATCTATATAAGAATACTAGAGAAGGTTTTAAAAACAATATGATGACCATTTTTACTCCTAAAGGATAATTGCCTCTTGGAGCATCTCAACAAGATCTTACTTGAGTCTGGATGCATGGACAGATCATTTAAAGCTGTGGCTCTCAAAGACAAGGTAGGGTGTTACTGTCCACACCTAGGAGATTTCAGCCATGGTCTGCTCTGAGCAGGAAGGCGTGTTGTGGGGGAGTAAGTGACTAAGAGGAAATATCTCTCATTTACTTCTGAGACTCATCTGGAACTTTCTACACAAACATCAAAACTCAACTCCATGTGAAACTAAACGTAACTCATGCAGTAATTCTGTACATGTTATCCTCAAATTTATCTGACTCTGAAGGCAGAACAATTAGCCACATCAGATGCTTTAGCATTGGATGGATATCTTATGCTCTATATTGTAGTTCAAGTTCAAAATCTGAATTAGGAATCACAGACAGAAAATCTGTGTGCTAAGTAGTGAAATTTTGACTATTGGTCATATAACAGTGATTGGTCTAGAAAAAGTAAAATTCTATCCATTCATACATACAAACCATTTTAATTTAAGAAGACTTCATGGACTTCTTTCGGTTTGTTGACGGCCTTATTTGTGAGATTTAATTCATGGAGTAGAAATACTCCAAAGGTTTTACTTTGTATGGACCTTCAAAATGTCCTTTATTCTTGATCCATGTACAATAATCAATGGTGTCAAGTCCTCTGAACTGTGGAGGATCCTGACTTAGTTTTGCTTCCAGCAAAAGCTAGAGGAATGGTCTATGACTGGAATCAAAAACTGTGCTCTTCTAAGGTTCACCATAAATTGCATCTCAACTTCATGGAAAGCTCCATGCATATCTAAAATAAAGCCTGCAAAGATGCAATGATACATTGGTTATTTGTATATAGTTGGATTATTTGTATATATTTTGTGTAGAGTATATTTTCTGTGTCCTCCGAATATTTTATAAAGAATTTGCTATTCTAAAAATAATGTCATTGGAGACTTATATTAGCTGCTGTTTTAACTTTGCCCACTCCTCTTTCTGTTAAGAGGTACTTGTCAGCCTTAAGTCTTTCTATACATTTGAGCAAAACCAAAACTTTTGTAAAAAACATTGTTTGCACAGGAACCTGCTCTCATTTTCCTGCAGGCAGGGTGAAGGGAGTAAGACTGAAAGGCACCATCAAAGAGGAAGGAGACCAGGACAACCTGTGGTTCTTTGGCACCAATGGTTTGCTGGCTAGTATGGATGCAGAATGTTACCCAAACTCCTCTTCATAGACTGCTGCTGTTCCATTGCCAGCAGAAGGAAATGTTCCATATTTTCATTGCTTTTTTACCCTTTCTCTTTTTCACTATAGCAATGAAAAATGTTAGCCATTTCCCCTTTCTAAACATGTCCATCTCCTGCTGCCCACCTTTTACATTCAGATGAAATTCAGTCTAGTGCAGAAGGAAAAGCTACACTTACTGCAGCCTCAGGCAGGGACTCATTGCCAGACACCTTGCCCATACCAGTATAAACCAATTTTAAAAAACTTCACAAAAGATACTGAAGAATCACACTGCAGAGCAGTGTTTGCTCACCTCTACAAAACTAGTGAGTTTCCTCTGATATAAAAATTCTAATGCAACTGTAGAGTAACATATTCAAAGAAATGAGATTCATACTCTTTTTTTCCTGTTAGAACAAATTCCTTTTTCTTGTGTATTCCTTAAAAGTGTTTTTATGTAAAACTCATGCAGGCTTCAAATTGTAAAGAAGTTTGTATCAAAGGCTTTGCAGTATCCCACTCAGAATAATTAACCTTCTGATTATTATTAAAACTCAGCTTCTAAAGAACTTGTTTGTATGTTGAGTTATTAATTTTACATTTTAGGAATTGGTACTATGGAGAGAACAAAGCTAAAAGCGGTGCCAATGAAGTAAAACCCCATTCTTATCTTGCAGGTATTGAAGTTTTTGCAATTTCATAATTTATTTACGATGTTGTCTACAAGGCTTCTATAGTGGATTTCTTTACTTAATTTGTAAATGGCAGACTGTTTTCCTTTTTTCGTGCCTCTAAACATGATTGATAATATTCAGTAAACAAAACAGTAAACATAAAATCCAAGGCCTCTTCCCTGTGTTGCGTAATAGTATCAATATGATGTAACTATATGTATGTATTTTACTGAATACCTCAGTGTATGTATTTTGAAGGAAGAAAAAAGAAATAGCTGACCACTTTATTCCTGGAAAAAAGTCCCTAATCAGACTGAATAGAAGAATTCTGTGACCTAAACTGGCAAAAAAATAATGTCACAATAAGTTACCACAAGACAGCACTGTAAAATACTGTATGTAAGGCTTAAGTAACTGACAATGCACACACGTGTTAATGCTTTCTAAAACTCTGTTAAAATCCCTATGTAATATCAAATGCATACAAATAGAAAAGTTTCTTAGTAGATGTTCTTTTGTAAATTATAGTAATTAATATTCTGGGGGGAAACAAAGCACCTGTTCTTCTTTAATTCCCCTATTAATCTAATTATCAGTTCTCTTCATGTAAAGTCAGAATAATTTCTGTTAAAATACTTAATATAGCTGACCAAACTTTTATCCTTGCTAAATCTCTTTCTTTGTTAAATTAGAATCAGCTCATGTTCACAGTCCAAAGCCTCAATATATTAAGTTCTGTGTGGGCCAGGTAATAATTCACAGAAGATTTGGCTACTCAGGAGTCATTGTTGGATGGGATGTAAAAGCTAACACTCCAGAAGAACAACTACAACCCAGATATCCTCCAGTGAAACAGGTCTGAATGTACTAAACTCTTGCTTTATTAATATATACACAGAATAACTCAGGTTAAAATACCCTCAGAAACACTGTTGCAGACCAAATTCCTGCCATCCTAGTGGGAATTCCTTACTGCATTTAAGAAATGCAAGTAATCCTCTGTGTTTAATCAGTTTCATTGAAAAAACAATGTTTTTGAGGATCTGGTTACTTGGAGTGTAAATCGATTTAAAAACACATTTTTGTTAGAATTCTTGAAGCCTTTAAACTTCTTTTGCTTAAGTCCTTGCATTTGAAAATCAGATGCTAAACCTTTGTTGACAGTGCTAATCTGGAAATGCAGTGCTGCACACTCTGCATGCCACTGACATGCTGCTTAAGTGGCAGGAAGACACTAATTATTAAGTCAGAGGAGTGAAAATGAGGAAAACATGAAAATCTTCGCCTATAGCAGAAAATTCATGTTCAGCTGGGAACTGACATTGTCCCATTTTGTGCATTTGGTTCCTTCCCTGATGTAGTTTTATCCAATTGTCCCTCATCTTTGGCTTCTAAAACACCTGCATCCTTGCTTTCTTTTCTCCATTCAGTACTGTTACCACCAGCTGAACCCCCAAGAATTTCTCAGCAGACATTGATTCTTTTTATGTAGTACCTTACACTGTTCTGCTGTCCCAGCCTTGTGTTCATTTTAATTGTTTTTAATTTCAAGAGCAATGGCAAGCATCTTTTGCTGGTTTTGAGGTTTAATTGCCTTTGCCTGTCATGTCACAAGCACTTGGCAAAATGCCTTCTGACCTTTAGGCTGCAGCTTACTGAACTTGGTCCTTGTAAATCCCTCAAAACATCGGCCAGGTTTTCAGCCCAACTTTTCCTAGCCTTCCTCTGACTTCCAGATCTTCATAAAATCACTGAGCAGAGGCCACTGCCTGTTCATTGATCGATACTGATTACTTCATAAACTCCATCTGTATTCATCCATCACTTTTTTGTGTTTAGATTGTGGGTTACTTTGGGCAGGAATGTTTATGGACAGCAGCGAACATCATGGCCCATATTCCCTGGCCCAGGATTTGTTTTCATAGGTACTTCTTTGTTGGAAGATTCATGCATATACACACACAGAAGCTGCCTTAGCTCTTTCCAGGGACCATGGTTGTTGGAGGTAGCATTATGTTCTGAACTTGTCTCTTCTTCTCTTGGAGTTTCATTGTCACTTGTGAAGGAAAAGGGTGGTAGCAGATCGTCACTGGGCCTATGTACAAAAAAGCAAGGATATTGTAAATCTTGTTTCTTGCAAGGTCTGTGGGAAAAAAGAGTTAATTAAACTCTTGATTCCTAAAAAATGTTTCAGATATCACAAGAACTTCGTGTGTTCAGTTCTGATTGCTTTATATTTAATTCTGACATTGGTAAAATCAAAAATGAACTGGCTGTATATATATATATATATACTCACACACACACACACACATATATATATATATATACACACACATGTATCTCAAGGGGATTTAGATTCTGTAAGCCCACTGAAAGTTAACTGATTATAATATGTAATCTTTAGTCATCATCTCTCTTTGAGGCTATTTATTTTCTTTCTATTTTTACAGGATCTAAAAGATACTCCTCACTATCGAATTCTAATTAACAAAGCAAATGGATTTGGCAAATCTACAGCTTATGTTTCTGAGGAAGAGATAACAGTTACTATGGGATTAGAGGTAGTACTTATTTTTATTCAGTTGCAACTTGATTGTTATCCTGTATGTTTAAAAGTTGGCTGACCTTTGGCTTAATAAATACCAGCTAGGAGGCAAAGTTAGTGAAAACTAATAGAGAAAGCAGATAAACAAATTACTGCTGTACTTTCAAGCATGGGTTTTTGAAGCTGAAAAATGACCAAATTCACTTTAAAGTGGGGAGTACCCACTTTAAAGTATTCAACTGCTGAGGTTTGTAAGTGTTTTAGCAACTTGATTTCCATTATATACAGGCTGTTGCAGACACAGACTTTTGTGATTTCTGGGGATCTAGTAAAGTATGCTGGTTTCTCAATTCTACTCTGAAAAATCTCCATTTCAAACAGCTCCTGCTCAGCTGCTGCCCAGACTGAAGAATGTCTTCTTTCTTAACTGTAAAATTCTTCGGGAGCCAAGAATTCTGTTTTGTGTATCAGGGTTGAAGTAGCTTTTGATTCCTGGCTTATGCAAGGCACACCTGAGTTTTAGACTAGTCTGAGACTCTGAGCCAGAAAACAGCCTTCAGGCATGCAAGATACATACAGGTGGCTTTTTGCAAGGGACTCCTATGCTGCTGTGGATGCCTTCTCTGTGGACAGTAAATACAGGGTCTGTATTTAAAACAGCAAGCAGATGAACCATTCACTTAACAGAAGCCACTTGATCTAGTCAAACAGAGCAGATTAAAATTGGCACATTCCTCTGCCTTTTGGGAAAACCTCCCAAAGGAATTGTGTAAATCAGACTGGCCTGAAGGCTCTCCATGCTCTCTCTCAAAACTGTGCTGCTGCACATAAAGGACCCCTCTCAAGTACAGTGTGACACAATCACCTCTTTTATTTGGGAGAAGCCTTAGTTCAGTCCATTCTGGTTTAGTCACCAATTGCAATATAGAGTATGCCAACATGCCTGAATTTAGGAGCAGAAACTATGCTGTTCCAGATGAGTATCATAAATATTTAAAACTGTATTCTGCCTACACTGTCTAAAAATGCACCTTCCACTATGCCAGTTAGCTGGCTACCTTCAGTTTCCTTTGTATTCCATCAGGAGAAACAGATACTTCATCTTAAATATTTACCTTGTGGAATTAGCTTTTACGGTATCAAATTGCTTTATTCACCCACATGGCAGGTTAATTCTCCACGAAGATTATTGGAGAAACTATTGGTAACAAGCTCACAAAACCAGGTATTTCAAAGTTGTCTAGCTGAGATTATTAACAGATGGTGAGTCATGCCTCAAGTTCAACAGGTCTGTGGATTGCCCTCACTCAGCCTTTTGTACAGTCTGACAGGCACAGTAATTTCTTGAAGAGTTGAGAGATCAGAAAATGCTTAGACTTGTCACAACCCTTTCCCAGCTGACAGTTCTGAGCCACTCACCGCAGGCTTCCTGCACCAAGACAAGGCTTGGACTGTCCCTGGTGGGTTTGCATCTTCGTATTGGACCTAGGGTCATCACCTGGGTCTGTCTTCACCATTTCCCCCACTGCTTCTTTACTGTTCTCGCTGCCTCATTAGATTAGATAACTGATCCAGCTAAAAGAAATACCAAATACCTCTAACAAATGTTAGAGCAACACAAGTGGGAACTACTTCCGTAAGAAACAGTGCTGATTTTAAACACTGATGCTGGTGTAAATCTAGCTTGTAACATCTCATGAGATCTGTTCAACATTTGTAAAGTACTTGGAGAGAGTTGCTATTCTGATGACAGAAATTCAGTTATGGTACACAGAAAATGCCATTGAAAGTACCTCTATGTACATAAAACTCATCAGGAGTTTTCAAACAATGTAGTAACTTCAATACTTCATTTAAGTATCAGTTTATATTTATTGCCAATTCTAATGCTTCTTCAATTTGAAATATTTTTTTCTCAGGTGTATCACCCTGATATGAAAACCTACTTCAGTGGATATGATGGATCAAAATACATTATGCAGCCATGGTTGAAAAAACTCTACCCTCATGACTGAGTACTTCAGTGTCTGTACATGTAATGTACATCCAGATAACAGATGTCCTTTTTAAAACTGAGCAAACAGACAGCACGATAAAATGTATATTTTTTTTCCTTTGATGAAATAAAACATTCCTAAGCAGGTTTTATGTTGGACACACTTTTGTGAGAAGTGAACACAATGCATGCTCAGTTTGTCATGACTTAGTAATGGAGATGACTTCCTTCCAGTTTTGGGAGGAAAGGTATACATAGTTTCAGATATAGCACAGTTTCAGCCAGGTGTGCTAAACGTTTGCCACATCAAATATCTTGCTGTTTTACAAGGGCCAGGAAAAAAAACCCAGTTGTGAACTGTACTTCAAGAATTAACTGTAACCTTAATTTTAGGGGATAGACTTACCCCAGGAGTGAAGTAAAAAACCATCAAAAATCACAAGTAAGCATAAAAATTTTATTAAGATGTGTAGGATTTGAAGGTTTCTAGGGCAATTTGCTTCTTCTGTTTTCTTTTCCCTTTATCTCAAACACAGCAAACACTCTACAAGATGCACAAGCAGTAGCATTTTGGATTCTTTCTTGCAGAGTCTGTGAATCAGCAGCGAGTGACAGGTGACTGTCTATGTGGCCTCCCCATTCTTTGGTTTCCTCTTCTTTTATCAATAAAGGCTTTCCCAATGCCTGGCCAAAGAGCTGACAGACTTCCTGGGCCTTGCGGCGCGTGTTTCCCACGGCAGTGACGCACACTTGGCGGCTGAGAGGTGGAAGCAGCAGCACAATAACAAGCAGGATCAACTGATGCACCAGTGCTCCTGCCAAGCTTTTTGTTTTTAGCCTCGCAGGTTTCGTAACTGCAGAGATGCTAAGGCACATCACCCACATCACCTTCCCCCAGCTTCTGAGCCACAGCTTGGGTATTGAGGGGACAGTGTGTGGAGGAAATGTCAGCATCCACTAATTTTGATGAGATCAAGCATTTCTAACACCTGCATGCTGCAGGCATCCACGCTGAGTCCAGCAAGAGTTCAACCCTTGCTCCAGGCATTTCGGTGGCTCAGCTGCAAGGTATATTAGCACCTGCTTAAAGTCACTGGCCATATTTCCTCATCTCCTGTAGATACCTCTGGCATTCATTTCTGGCATCTCTGGAACCTTTAACGGCAGCTAATTAAGCTTGCTGCTTGGACCAGGCAGTTCTTTTCTCACAAGAGGCAAAACCCCAACCAAGACTAAACTTCCTTCTGTCCCTCCCATTTAGCGAGAAAAGCCTGGACTGAATAGTCAATGCTTAAAACAGATCAAGATTGTGAGCTTCAGGGCAGCATATTTTGATGCTGAGATGTGTCACACGTGGTTCTTTCTAGATCATGTCAGCTAACAGAAATGGTAATTGGCAAAGGTACTTAAAATTATCATTACCTGGTAACACACTTGCACCCTCATGAATGAATACAAATGAAATCTACACATGATGATGTAATCAGAGACAAATTCTGTTGATCTAAGATTCCCAGCAGATTATACTCCAGTGGAAATCAGTGGGAAAATAACTTTTATTACATTCTGCTTTTGCACAGGGACAAGAACAAAGTCTACCTTCTAGGCTGAACAACATTAACTCTTAAGTTATATTAAATACTGAAATCTCTAACATAAATATTCATAGGTGTGAAGGAAACTACTTGCTCCCATTGCAAACAGCATAAATTATGTATTCATATTAACTGAGGCTGTAAGACTTTTGGCACGTGAGAGAACTTACCGAAGTGAGTCTATGGCTTCTGGTGTATGGTAGAAATGAGGTGGATTGATGGTAACAGAGGTTCCTAACTTTTCAATGAGTAGATTGCAAACATTCTGCATTTTTCCAAAATCACTGAATATGATACAGACCTGGGAGTGAGTGAACAGACATCACATGAGTAATATTTTCGTTTTCCACTATGACTCAACACTTTCATTTAAATCAGTGTAAGGCCAGACATCTACAAGGTAACTAAACACACTAGTGCCATATACAACTCCAACATTTATGAAGTTATAAGACTTTTATATAGCCCTAGAAACTAGCATTGTTTGCAACAGAAAGAAGTTCTTAAATAGTTTAAAACTGAGGATTAAGAAATCCCTTCCTGAAGAAATGCAGAATTCTTGGTATGCAAACAATCTGAAGAATGAATGTGCTCTGGTGCACATGACTAGATGCATCCTGGTTTGTCCCTTCTTAGATTGCTGGATGTTAATTATGCAGAAGCTCATACAAAATATGTGGAAAACACTGTGCATGAAGGAAAAATATATTTTAATTCCAAGCATTAGATTAAAGAAACCTCAGCTATGAGATTAAGCTAGACTGAGCCCAGTTCACCTTGCAGTGGACTCCAAATCCTGTGTTGTCTGAACAGACTCACTGCAGTGCTGAGAGGGAACAGGGCACTTCAGACTCAGATTAAAAACAATTTAAACACCCAACATTAAATTAAATGAAGATGCACTAGGAACTGAGGTCCTTCCCAAATGCTATGAAGCAGCAATCACTATCAGTCCTGGATCCAGAGCCCAACAGTTCTCCTGGTCCAGCCAGGCAGCAATTTGCCTGGCAGAAGCCAGCTCTTCTCTGTGGCAAAGCACAGCTGCCAGGGCTGAAGCAATGACACTGAGTTGATACAGCATTCAGGAATCACAAATCCTGGATCCCTAACTTTTTTTAAAAAAAACCTAAAGCCTCATCTTCACTTCCAGTACAGTGCTCCCACCATGAGTCAGGTGGAATCCCCAACTCCCTTCTTTCTGCATATTAATACAGGTTCCACAGGAGTGGAAGAAAAACCCTGCGGTTAAGAAAATTCTACTGCCAACACGTGGGACGTACAGCTGCCCCCATGGCTGCTGCAGTCTATGCATCACTCTACCCCAGTGAAGGGACATGACACAGAAATCTCAGTTACAGCACGTCAGCAGCACTGCAGCACCTTCCTGTGCGCATACCAGAGATTTATTTACCTTGTGCACAATGAGATAATTCAAAGAAGCTGAGCCTCTCAGTGAGGGAGGAGGGAGCTACTTCATATGCAGAGTAAGGTAAAAAGTGCTCCCATCTTGTTACCCTTGACAGCCTTTTGGTGTAGTACCTGAACCTTATCCTGGCTTGGATCCTTGCACTGGTTCAGTGGCTCTGAAAGGTGCAGTGTCAATTGAACAGAGGCTGAAGATGAGGCTACACCTACAGTTTTTTCTCCAGTGGGAGTTCTTGCCATACATATAAAAAGCACACATCCCCCTGTGATGTTTTGCCAGGAAACTGTCATAGCTGTATTTTGTGTAAAGTCTCACTATGAGGACTGTCATAGTGTTTTCCAGATTGCCATCAGCATTTACAAGATTTGTTCCTTCTAGGGGATGAAACAAAAAAAGTGATGAAACAAAAGAACTATGGGTCTTAAGCAGGAGATAAATTGCTCAGACTGGGGCACTTCTGGGCACTCAGGAACTTTACTGTTAAAAAAAAAGCACTTGATCAGGTACCCTCAGAAGCACAAAGCAACTGACCAACAGCTGATTTTGCTGTTTCCCCCTCCTAAAAAAAATAAAAATAAAAATTTTCATTTAGAGCTACATCTAATACATTCAACTTACAATTACAGAGAATACTTCAACATTAAAATGCAAATAAATGTTTTAACTTTGTCAGTTATTAAGATTAAAAGGTAACAAGAAGCTATGCAAAACTATTAGAGACATTCCCAGGTTTGGAAAAGGCTGCAAATGACAAGAAGTTATGGTTTATAAGGAGGTGAGCATACTAAGAAATGCACAAAACCAACATAATCTTCCTCCCATGAGACCGTCACACAATAAATGAACTATTATGATAAAGATATTATAAAGCTTTGTGATCTTATACACAACTTCATTCTTCTGAATATTTTCCTTTATTATAGCATGAATTAAAATTATCTCCTTACAGTTGAAAGAATATCTTGAATTCTTCATTATACTTTTAAATAGCTACACACCTGGGAATTTTTCAGTCTTCTAAAAATTCTTTACATGAGACAAATGATGAAGAGTTTACAGAATGTAGTAAAACAGGATGTCCAAGACTTTACATGTAACAGATATAATGGCAAACTCTAATAGAGAAGTGAGTGGAAGTGAGTTTTAAATTCATTCATGTTGCTAAAGCAGGCAAACAGCCTTGTCAATGGACCCTCACTAGTTTATGAAGCTGCACTAATGAAACAAGGATATTCATAAAGGGAGAAGCAAGGAGAGACTGATCTCGGCATTAAGAGTGGCCACACTGCTACCTCAGCGTGCAGGGCAGCCTAAACAGCAGCACTGTGCATGGATTCTTCCAGTTACAACCCCCAGGGCCCCAGGCAACCACACAACTTTGCAACAGCCATTACAGCTGGTCCAAGCTGCTTACAAATCAACACTAAATCGAAGTAATCAGCCTTCCACATATAATCCTTGCTGCATAAAAACTAATAGCAGAAGACAGATAATTGGTTAAGTTACCACTTAAGACTGAAGTTGTAAGCCTAAGCTTGTCTGTAGCATAAACAATAATTCATATAATAATTAATAATAGGGGGTTTATTAATTTTTAAGTACAGGTCATCTAAAAAACATGGTGATTTAAGGTCTCAGGGTAGTATGTGTCTCCATGATGAAGCTGAAGTCATTCAGAACATGAATTCACACCATTTAAGTATCTTAAGACTAATTTTAAAATCCAACTTTTGTTCTCCAAATTCTCAATCATTTCTGTATTTATTGGTGTTACTTAGATAAGAATATGCCTTAAAGCAAGCAAACTAAGGAGGCTGAACTTGTTTAAGAGGACTCTAAACCACAGCTCTATAAACCAGCTATCATTTTATTGCAGGCTTCCAGGTTTACTTTGTAAGGATCTCTAAACTTGCTGGGTAGTGATTAAAGTTTTATGGTCTAAAAAATACATTAGCTAAACACGCAATTTCCCTCAGTGAATGTTTCAAGCACAGCGTTTATTTCCTACTATGGCATGAATGTGCAAATATATACTTCCCTTAGCAGATACTGAAGTAAATGGGATTATTCCCATAATATCTGCATTTCACAGAGCATTTTACCTACAAAATTCTGAGCCAATTACCCAGGAAACAATTACCTTTACTTTACTTAGAGCAAGCTGATGGCAGAGTTGTACAGAACAGACCAAAATCCAGGTGCTCTGCAACTGTGGCCTAAGCAGATCTTGCATTTGCTCCCAGTTCAAGGAGCTAAAATAATGAAAAAAAAAAAAAAAAAGAAAGAAAGCTGAGCTGGGGAAAAAAAACAGGTTATTAACTGGGGCAGCTTTCTGAACTCACCAACTCCTTGCAAGAAGCAGAGGGCAGGAAGGGCTACAGGTGAAGGAAAGTTCAGAATTGTTGGTTTGCTCACACTGCCCCAGAACCAAATATGCCAGTCTGTAGCATCAGGTAACATTTAAAAAGCACACATTCATCTGAGAAGAAAACAAGTTCAGCACAAAGAACAACAGAAGACTGCAGCTGAACTCTGCTATAAACTGCAGTCCTCAAATAGTTCTTTTGGACTATGCTGCCGTTATGTTCCTTGGTCTGAGTAAAGATAGTCTGCAAATTTTTATAGGTCCTTGACACACTTACTTTTTAATTTTATTTTTATTTTTGGCTAGGTTGAATACATACCTCTGCTTCCATTTGGTAAGTATTTTCTACTCTGCTAAAATCTTCTGTTACAGTCATATTTTCTTCCTAAAACAAAGTAGAGGAATACAACCTTAAAAGATAGAAATTAAGGATCTGCTGTATCTACATGGTGTCCTATAAAAGCTGAACTGTTTTGGTATATTACTCATGACTTTGAAACAGAAATTTTGAATTTTCCATGCAAATAACTTCAGTTAAAAACTAGCTGGATGTTAAAGATTTCTTGAATTATTCTAAATCAATTATACAGTAGCTCTACAATGGGATTTTGCTGCTATTCCCTTGAAGAGAACAATTAGGTCATAAAAGTAGCTGCTAAGTAGAAGCTGTGTGTATTAGTATGTAACTGTAAATTCACCTGGTACAAGAAATCTAGAAGCTTCAGAAAGTTAGTATGTGAGAAGTGCTTTTTAGGCCCCTATTTTAAGATATTTTAGCAGCAGCAGCAGCAAGGTGATATGAACAAAGATTGAACAGCAATTATTCTGGCATAATGGTAACCCTTGAAAAAGGCTGTTCCACCAGTGATGCCTCGGCATCAACAGCAGCTCCATTGGTCAACATAATGGCTGCACAGAGTACTAGCAAATCCTGTAGGACACATAAACAAGGTACTGAACTCAGGAAGATACAGAATAACTGCAGTTACATGTGAATATTTGACCAGCTTGCTACTGGTCTGTCACATATCTTTCACCCACTTTGCTCTGCAGCAAACAGTTTGAACAAACAATTTATTGTGAAATTACTCTATCATAGCAAAAAAAGCACAGCCTACAGTTTAATTGCAACTTTGCATGTAACACCTATGAAGTGTAGTAAAGCAAATACCCAGCCTTCCAGTCACTAAAGAAGTTTTATTTACTAGATTTATTTGCATAGGAAATATTTTCTTCAATGCTGACATTCAAGATGCTTTGTGTCAGAGTATTTCCTAAAGATGCTCAAGTCTTCAAGTTTATCATGTAGCATGCATGCATGCATAAGTTTATGCAAATAATATTAACTATGAGAAGCATTTTCCTTTTAAAATATTATATGGTTTTACTACCATTGAATAAAAGTCTACAAAAAACTGAAATTTCAAAATTTGTATCATGATTGATTGGTAGTGCTCAAATTTAAGCACAACAGTCCTATTTTTAGATATTTTCAGGAAGTCTCTTCTAGTAAGGGCAAGGATTAGCAAGGGCCAGTAGTCCATAAAAGCTGTATTTTTTCTTTTATTTGGCTGGGGTTTGCTAGAGTGATCAAGACAGTCTAGCACCAACAGCTCATTTAATTTACAGGATGGGGTAAATCTTACTATTTGTGTTAGAATTCAATTACAATTGCCAAGAAATATTTTTCCCCAGAGGTTTCACGTATCTTACAGAAATTACCACACAGAAAAAACAAACTACTACAACTCGTATCTTACAGAAATAGCTGTGCTGTAACACAACTGTAAACATAGAAAAAATGCATTTGTTTTCCCCTGTCCCCTCTCCTTAATCCTTTTTAAAACAGGTTCTCCTTCCTGCTGAGCAGATCCAAGCCTTGGAATCTGGCTGTGCCCTCCCAAGGTTCCTGTGTATTTAAGGACACTGCCATCCCGTGGCACCAGGCGCTATGGCAAGATCAATACTATGGAGTGAAAGATCATTTTGCACCACGTATTACAAAATTTCCTTCACAGCTAATTTTAATCCCACCAAATGTGACAGTAGCTGTATGTGCTACTGAAGATAAATGGATGAAATAACTGCTGAAGTCATAACAAGGTGGCCTTCTGTGATACATTTTCTGTTAGATACTTCGCTTCTGTTTGTGACTGTTCACACAAAGATATGGAAAAGACAGGTAGGAGACAACAGAATTTGAAATTGGAATCAAGACTGAGACTACTTCAAAAGCAACAATTTTTCTTCCCTACTGTTTATGTCTACTATTCATATTTTGGCTGAGGAAATACCAGTTTGATTGAATGGCCCCAGAAGAAATACTTTTCACTGTGACTTAGGGAAAGCTGCACCTCAAGTATTCTGGACATCTGGAATAACTTTCTATATTTTCTAAATCTGTGGGCCAAGAATCACAAAAAATAATTAAACCAATATAACAATATTGGTATTTCAATCACCCCAGAAGCCATTGAACAACTCTTAAGAGAATCACACTTGTGAATTCTGCTTATAAAGCCAATTTTTTATGTGGCATCACATCACTGCTTCAGGCACTCTAAAATAAACAAAAATGAAAAAGATAGTCGATATCCCATTGAGCATATCAAGTCTAGAAATTGCTTTGCTTTATATTTTCACTCTTTTCAACTGAACACAACCTTTTATAGTCCTTCCTCCTATCTGCTACTTCTGAACAATGTCATAGTCACAAGACCATTGTGTCCACCCTCATGACACTGGCAGGCTATAAGAATGACTGCTCTTTTCCCCAGAAGAGAACAGGAAAAAAAATAATGGGTAAGTTAGCAAATGCATACTTCAAGGAGACAAGTATGCAACAATACACTAAAAGAACAGCCCATCTGCACATAAAATTATGTTCTGCTCCTGGCTAATGACTTAATGAAACTATGAGACCTTTTTATGATACACAAGCCAAGCCTGAGCAAGGGAAAGCACTTATAGTTTGGAATGTATGCCAAAGCCTGTTGGGTAATGTATGCTGATATGTGTAACTGTAAATAAAAAATATCTGGAGACACTTGAAAATGTCTCTTGAAATCCATTTGTACATTTGAACTGATATATCCAGTACAACTTTACATTATCAAAAAGAAGGATATCTGTTCAGTCAAAAGAGTCAGCTTCTTCCATGTGATGACAGCATTTTTGTTCTTGGCACTATGGAAATGGTTACTGAGAGCCCTGATCTTGCTCCTGTCTCCTGCCAGTCATCCACAGTGTCTCCAGATAGTTAAGGATGCTGAGCACCTTCTGAGATTGGGTAGCTGTGCTGCAGCCTCTCATCCCCACACTCTGTCTGGTCTTTGGCATGAGATGTCAGAATGGCCACCCAAAACCCATAGTGAAAAAGTTTCTGCTGCTTAAAGAAGAAATAACCGAAGTATATTATATAACCAAACAGTTACTACAAGAAAGACAAAAAGCAGATTTGTCCTCAGCAAATGCAGGGTACTCTGGAGATATTTCTTTAAATATGTAGTAATATAAAAAAGGCGATGCCTTACACACGTTTTTACCTTCAGTCAGGGATATATTGTCATTGGAAGACTTTGCAACTAAGTCGGCAAACTTTAAAACCTTTTTTAACTGACTGTATGGATGTTCATCCATAACTGTGACTCCTGAATAAGTTTTGAAATATGAAGAATATTGCACATAAATCCAAGGGAGGTATCCTAGTTCAGACAATCTCTAACACAGAGCCTACCAGATATATTTTGCTAGATGGTTTGTTTTGTTCTACAACACTCTGACAGGTACAACAAATATTGTTATTTTAAACATGGTGCCAATGCCAACAGTTAGATATAGCCATTAAAGAAAACAAGTGTCATCTCCACACCACTCCCCAAATAAATCATAGCTGGCAAATATAAAATCTGTTTGCTTCCAGAGAAAGAGAAGAAAATGTTACTTTTGAGCAGCTGGGTTGATTAAGGGAGATTGCTTTGAAGGCTGCAGGGAAAGTAAAATCAATGGGGAAACCACATTCTGTGCTCTGAAGTGCTGCATATACTTACAGCACTCTATAAATAAATGCCACTATGTGCATCTATTTCTGATTAAAATCCTGTGTAAATGTATATGGAAATCAGGTGCTGCCCCCAGGCCTCCTGAGAAGCTGCTAATGCAAGCTCCTGCTGCTGCAAAGGTTATGCACTTCCCATCTCACAGGTTCCCTACTATAGCAACAATAAGGGTTAAGAAAATTGTGCTGTGCATTAATTAAAATAAATATATAGCATAGTTAGATGATTTCTAAAGAGGCCTTAGATAAGCTTGCAACAACTAGAACCATATGGAGACTGTGAAGAGACATTAATTTTACAGTTGCCTAGAATGGTATTAGCTGCAAGTGAAGTTATCAAATGCAGTTAAAGAACAAATTGCCAGCAGTGAGAGTTGTTAGTGGAAAAGCTGCAAGGCAAATAAAAGCTCCAGCAGTAGAGTGATTTAAAACTGGATGAAACAAAGCACTAAAAATTATACCGTGGGGAACTACTCTGAAAAAAAATAACTTCATGTTGTTTTTCTCAGAGTTCCCTAGAGCTAACACTTTGCTAACACTGAGAAACCCACAACTCAAGCAGCATTTCACAGTCTCTCAACTAAGTGGAAAGAACATTTCCATTCTCCAACACACAGCATCTTCGAAAGAGAAAAAGATTACTGTGAAATTATTGTAACTATAATAAGACACCAAATACTCTCACATTGTAAAAACAGCCCACTCTCCACCCTGCTTGCCTGCTCACATTACTTTTCTGAACCTGACTGTTATAAATCCAAATAAAGTCATTTGTTTGTCCAAGTCGTACTTCAGCTTGCAATCCCTTTTTCTAGCCTGGAGTGGTGCACACAGCCCCTCTAAAGCACACTCACCTCTTTAACACCCTGCCTGCTCTTGTTGTGTGCCAGCCACTACATGTTGGACGCTCCTTGCTGTCCCAATTCAACCAGTATCAAGTCAAAACTGGAAGTCAGTTGTTCAGATTCACTGTGGGGGAAATATCTCCAACTATCTTTTCCAATATAGCCATGCTCTGAAGAACTATTTAATTAGTCAGGACAAAAATGTCCCATATAGCTCATCATGGTGGTGGGTACAAAGGTTAACATTTTCTCTACTGATAGGAAGGAATGCATGCTGAATTGCTTTGTCTTCCCCCATTCCTCTTAAAATCCACCACTTTAAACTCCTGTTAATTCACTTAATAGACACTGAAGGCATGTAACCTGCAATCCCTCACTAAAATGCACCAGTTTTGGCTGAACGAGTCATCCTGATGTCAGTGGAACCCAAGACAAACGCTGCCTGTGACAGACATGCACCCAGCCACAATCAACACCTGTCCT